GTAGGAGAGGACAAGTCATTTTATTGAAGCAGTGAGGAAAATTCTATTTATATTGTACTTTTTATGTCCTCTAAGATTTTATTTGCATTCTGCCACTAAAAACATACAAATGACACTGACCTAAAAACCACTTAACCAATTCACAATGTATCTTGCACCAGCAATCATGGAAAAACATAGCTTAATTAAGTCTCTCCTAATACAAGTTAGGGCCATTAGAAATTAGAGAGAGGAGTTGGGCCAACATTCAGCTCCAAAGCTCCTGGTCCTGATGATAACATCAGTAGTAAACTGACACTGTTACATTTACACTACCATAAGCAGACATGATGCTTTCACAAATAATAACCTAATTAGATCTCAAATGAGATGGACAAAAATAAAATGCAGCTAGAATGGTTCTACTGTGCGTGAAGCCTGTCAATGCCTGCAGAACAGAGAGGGGTAGGATGGATGTCAATGGGGTTAGGAACGTGTTGGAGAACACGACAAGAGCAGCAGGCCCAGCCTTCCGCTGCTGCACGAGCAGGGAACCCACCTGCAGGTATTGGGGAGTCCTGAAATTCTAGTGCTTTCAAAACTGACATGTTCCAAAAAATTCCTCAATTCTGCTCCTTCTTAAAACAAGTGCGTCTCTCCACAGTGCTGTGTAGAAGGTGAAAAACGCTTCCACCCTTCTGCCAACTCTGTCCAAAGAGGAAAATCCAGCCTGATGTGTAGGCAGTAACCCATTCTCACAGCCTCCTAATGCACAAATCCTCACTGCAACAACTCCCTTCCCTGCTCAAGGAGGATGAAATTGCTGAGAGTCACCGAACGCTGAAAAAAAGCCCAGAGAGTGGCTCTGGTTACCGGAGGAAAGGAAAGAACCGATGACATCCCAGGGCTCTCCAACCGACTGACCGAACATCTCGTCACACTTGCTTGCTCCATGCTCCCTACTTTCTTTCTGACTTCTTACCCAACCTATATGCTTAATGTATATAGAGAACAGCGTGGAGCATTGCTTTTAGCAGACAAATCACATAACAAATATTTATTTATAGAAAAGGTGGTTAAACTTATTTTATGGTAAACATATACACTAACCGCACCTAATTTAAGACAAGAGACCTCTGCTAATTTTCTTGACCCAGGTACTTACTGGCCAAGCAGAGACTCCTTCAGTAGCTGAACGCTGTGGTGTTTATTGCAGAGGTAGGTACCCCAGACGGGTCATGGCCAGCTGGAAGACCCCTCGGCTGGTGGAGTTGGAGCTCTTTTCCTCTACCTTCCTGCTGTGTGGGTTCCTCTCGAAGGGCTCCCCTGCTCTCCGTTTGCTCAGCAGACCTATTTTTCTATACAGCTACAGCATCAATAGGAGCGTAACCATCTAATATGGGGTGAGAACAGAGGTTTAGTGCTATAAAACTAGTATTTGAGTGAAAAATTAAAAGGTTTCTTTTGCTTTCAGTTTACATTTAAGGCCATGTATAGCTTTGTGATTAGGATTTTCAAGTACATTTCTGTTTCTCTTCTGTAGAATGGGAACTACAGTACTTTCCATTTCCTAGGCTGAGTCTCAATTTGTTAATATTTACAAAACTTAAAGATCCTCAGCTAGAAAGAGACATAGAATTTAAAGTGTATAAACAAACACTACTAAAAACCTGGAATAACAGCTTTGTGTTTAGACACTACAGTTTACAAGATGCATTAAGTTTGTCTTCCTCAGCGCTGGGAAATACCTTGGCCATGACAGAGACACTCTTTACATAGTCTCCCCATTTTCCTGTGGCACTTTGAAGTTGTAGCACTTAAAAAAAAAAAACACTTTGAAAGCATTTTTAGGGTTAAAGTAGTAAAATGCTTACTTCGGCAAGGAGAAAGAGTAGAGATAGGAGGCGGGAAATGTGTAATATGCCATAATAGAAACTTTCCAGTATTCCAGGATTAAGGAAGAAAATCCACTGATGATTAATGACTCCTTCAGGCTGAGCAGTTGGTTGGATAATGTTCAGCATATTTGAAATTTGCTGTATGAAAAGCAGTGGGATCACCCTGTGCTAGGTCAGTGCTTTGGGGTCTTTCTCGGTATACTGGAAGTTGAGCTGTTTTGCTGCAGTAAGATGGTCGCCCTTCAGTCTCACAAATCTGGGGAGTTGTTGTTAGCGTGATGGGTTTTCCAAGCCTTATTTGAAGGGTATTTGATGAGTATTTGACGAGCAACTGCTTGTGCTTTGGAGGCAACGATGCAACTTGGACTCCAGGTACCAATGAATGCTTTAGTGATGAAAAAGATGATGATGTGAAGTGATGAAGTGATGAAAAGCCATAACACAGTAGTTCTGTACCTCTACAACTGTTCACTTCAGATCTTCTACAGAAGTATTGTCTGGCAGATCATTTTAGAGACACATTCTCTCCTGACATCTAAGACTTCAGAAATCAAAAAGCATTTTTTTTTTCTGTACCAAAAGAAGAAAACATAGAAGCACATGTATCACACACTACTTAGCTTTGATCTTCAGAAAATATTTCCCGGTCTTTGACCTAGTAATACATTTTGGCATGGTGTAAAAGTGAACAGGGTCTTCACTTGCAGCTGTCACCATTTCTAGTTTGGCTTTCACGAGCAAAGCCCCGTGTGTGGACACCTGTGTGATGAGCGTGGACTGCGTCTGGGGCAGGAACTTCTGTGGGGGGACCAGGCGGGCTGTGAACTCACACAACACATGGCCGCAAGCCTGGAGCTCCAAACCCCTGTAGGTAGCGTCACTTCACACTTCCAACAGCTCTCGCAATGCTCTAAAGGTCACAGGAGAAGATCTTGCTCAAAGACTTGTTTTTGAGATCTCTTAAGAGGGAGGGGAGGAAGAAGGGAAGACGGAGAATGCCCTTAGCACTGCACTTTACCAGACACCGAGGCAATCATTAGCTCTCGCAGCTCCGGGCCTCGCTGGGCTACAAATACACGAGTTTTCCTGCCAGCGAGTTACATCACAACCACAGAAGTTCAATAAAACCTTTTCCATTCTGTAACTAAAAAAATAAGCCCTAATAGAGATGATTTCGTATTAACAGGGTAGTTTCCTCTCTACTGTAACTAGGAACATGGAAAAAATGACCTGTGCCCAGTTTAGTCTTGACTTGTCTATTCCAAGCTCTTCTAAAGAGATCATTTCACAGGCACTGAGCTGTGACCCTTCAAATGAGTTCGTCCTGATTCCTCAAACAGGCCGGTGTCCGTGGAGCACTTAGGTTGTCTCTTTGCTTGTCTGGTTTCTCAGCACTAATCATTGAACGAAGCCTGGGCTGCACCCAAGGGCAGCAAGATGTCTTTTCAGAAGTGGTTCAAGGCGAGCAAATTAAAAATAAATAAATAAACTTTATACAGGGTTTTTTTCCAAAAAAAAAAAAAAAAAGAGAGAGAGAAAGGAAAATATAAGGCACGCCTTTGCACCAGCTTTAATTTCAAAGCATGTCAGTACAGCCCACCTAGAAGGTGCTCGGATCCTGTGGCCTGCATAATATGTGCCCCTAGAAGAAAAAAACTGAAATAGAAGCAGGGAGATATTTGCTGCAAAGACTTAGGAAAGCTGCAGTAAATCTCCGGAATGAGGGGTCCTGCTCCTGCTTTGATCCATTTCTTTTCCTGTCTTGTTCACTGCTGCCTTTTGTTTTGCTGCTGGTTTCACTCGGAGCCGCGCACACCCTTCGTCCCAGGGCGCAGGCAAACCCTGTCTCCCGGCTGTTCCTGTGTCCCACATCCAACACACCCATCCGCAGGCTCCGCATCACCCCACCAGCTCCTCAAATAAAGGAGCTGAGGAGCTGAGTCACGTAACGTAACTGGGGAGAGATGAGGGAAAAAAGGTACTGTGTGGGGGGAGAAGAGCAAGTCCTTACAATAGCACGCCTGTCCTTCCTGAAAAACTAGGGGTTTACAGGTGTCTACAGCAGCAAAATCCACAGCCTTCCCCACCACCCTTGTGAGAGGAGGAGGGTGGAGGGGGCGTCCGGCGCCGCTTCGTGTCCCGACATCCCGCAGCCTGCCCGCCGGCTCGCTCCGAGGCTCACCGAGCAGTTTTCAGTTACAGCTCGTGTCAACAGCTGCCTTCTGTCACAATTTATTAGCTGCCAGAATCAACAGCGGAGGGAATTTTGCCATGGCAAGTGATGCACTCGCTGCCCTTTGCACAAGCGAGCGGTTGGTCAGCGCGGAGGGTCCGGCCGTCGCGGCTCCCCATCCCCTCACCTGGCAGAGGTGGACAGAGCCACGCGGTCCCCCGCACCGCCCGTCCCGGCGGCCTCGCACCTCTGCCCGGCAGGGGAGAAGGAACCGAACCGCGTTCGTGGTAACGAGCCCCGTGCGAGCGGCTG